CTACAAGACCCCGTCGCACTAATCGGATGAATATCTCCTACAGAAAGGGCCGACCAGGCACAAGAGCCAGCTGTCGACCGAAGTGAGACATGAGCATCTCTCTCTCTCTATCTCCCATTCGGGCTGCTCATCTACTGCGCGCTCGACTGATCACACGGCGCCTCTGGCCACCTGCCCCCAAGGGACCTATGATGGGGCCTTCTCATGCCTGGTTGTTCCATCAAGGACAGATGCAGACGGATCCCTTGGCGGTGCAGGGGCACAGGCAAATCTAGCAAGACCCCGTCTTGGCCCCTTCAGGCACCAGACTTGCCAGACTGCCGCAAGGGGGTTAGGCGGCGGCCGCCGCGGCGTATTGGGAAATGGCACTCCTTTCCCAGCACATGACATCGTGTGCCTCCATCGGCGCCCCCCTCTGACGCGCTGCTGCAGGTGGGAGAGTACTGCTGCTGCAAGGCAGGCCGTCTCCTGGGGCACCCATCTGGGCCGGACGACTTAGATCGTGGCAGATCGAATGCGCTCGAGCGATGAGGGTGTGGTGTATGGCGTGCCTTTCAGGGGGGACTGTCAGGGGCCGGGTAGGGGGGCGAGCGCTGCCCTCAAGTCGTCGTCGTGCAGTGCAGATGCAGAGGGGGCCAGCAGAGAACGAGAGCCCTGTTCACAACCGGACGAGAGCCCTGTTCACAAACGGCATTCGGAGGACCAATGGGCCAATGAGGGGCGCCAGCAACTTTGTTTTGGTCGTCGTTGTTGACTTGCAACCGAATCCCCTTGGAGCACCGTGTCCCCGACGACAGACGGCATGATCCCCTCTATGCGAGCCAGTGACAGTGCCGCTGCTGCACACGACGACGTGGAATCCTCACATCGCTCGACTCGCTTCGACCGACTTGACTCGACTCGACTCAGGTTCCTTCGTGATGCCCAAAACGCGAGGTCCCGGACCGCTTCCCAATCTAACTACATGCGTCCGGGGCGGACCTGGCCTAGCAACGGATAGTCCGTCGGTAGCCCACAGCGCGTGTTCCCTCGACTTGGGACGACATTTCCTTTGTCTTTCAGGTTATTATGTATACCCACCGCCATCGGCACCGAACAAGAGGCGGGCGATAGGGGCCCGACTGGGCCATGGTGTGGAGCTGTCAAGTCTGTTTCGGCCAACAACGGGGATGGATCAATGTTGTGTTATGGGGGTCTTTCGTTCTGTCGACTATCAAACAATGCGAGCCTGACGCCTACCATTCCCGGGATGATGGGCGGAGGCGAATATCCACCGACAACGTGGGCCAAATGATAGCCTCATTCGGCAAGATTGGCCAGAGATTGCGCGAATGAAGATTGAACTTCCTCCAGAAGGAGGGAGGCAGACTGCCACTTTCTCCGGTGTCTCGTCAATCTGCTTGTTTGTTGATCTGCTAATGAGGCAGCATCATATAGGTCGTTGCGCCGTTCTGACGGTGGACAGTTGGCAGTCGACAGGCGGGGGAGGGCACAAATGCTGGCTGACCTTGTCTCGCTGATCGGCCAACGTGCATGGACGGAAGGAGACGAGACTCGCTGCTCTGGATTGGCGTCTGTTGCAGCCATGCCTGAGGTCGACGTTGATGATCCTTGTCGCCTCCTTTTCGGGTGCAGACGCACAAACACGCAAAAAATCCGATCAGAGTTCACGGTGATCGTCTGGCAATATCTTCTTCACCCAGTCGTGCGAACAAGGAAAGGCATGTGTGTGCCAGATGAGGAGGCAAATCTCCTGTGGGAGCCACCTGTGTTTCACTGGCGGCGGACAGGGGCGCGCGGTTCTCCCTGCAGCCGCAATTGTTTCTTCTCGCGGAATTGGAAATTTTAGGGGTCCTGGGGCCAAGCTTGTAGGCGGGCGGCCAAGGTTCATCTCACCGAGGCACCTAGCTATGAGAGATTGACATCAACAACGAGCTCCCGGATCATGCGAAGCCGAGCGAGGCTGACGAGCCACCCTCATCGGAGGAGGCCTGTACATGTAAGGTACTGCGTGAGAGAATGGAGCTCATGGGCTTCTTTGCAAGTTGGCATGGGCATCTCCTGAAAATGGCAGGACGGTGGCCCTTCTCCCTTCTTGCGCTATCAGTGCACTGGCCAAGGCTCCCCACTGAACAGTGCCCTGTCCCCACTGAACAGTGCCCTGTCTTGCCTGTGAGCGCCGAAGGCCTGAAGGACCTGGGTACCTAGGTACCTGCCTAAGGTACCTAAACCTAGGTACCTGCCTAAGGTACCTAAAAGCTAAGGTAGGTAGGAGCAGAGAGGACGCTGACAAAGATGTCGGCGACGGTGATGTCAGTCAGCTCGGGCCACAGCTCGCGTCACATGCGTCCCCTCATGGCCGAACCTCCAAGTCACAACCTCGTCAACCGCCCCTTCTCGTTTCCATTCTCGCAGAACCGACAGCAAAAAATCGTGGGTGGAAGAACGGCTTGCTCACAAGAGGTTGACCGGCTGATTCTCGATAACACCCCGCCGTGCCGCATCTCGGAATAATGACTTGATCCAGAGGCTGCTCTCTTCGTCTTCAGCATTTCACCCCACCCACCATTCCTGATCGAACATACGCGCTCCCCACGCCGCCTGTATCTGGCCATCATGGACGAATACACCACAGACCTCTTCATCCCGCGTCAGGACTCGCCAGAGCTCCCTGCTCATCATGACCATGTTTTCGACGAGCAGACTCCGTCAACACCTCCACGTCCACAGCAGCGGCAGCAACAGCAGCAGCAGCAGCAATCCCAGCACGACGATCAAAACGCCAGCGACACCTCGCCCTTGTCGGGTCGCAAAGGCTTCCGCGGCCGCGTAGCTGGTGCCGCCCTGACGAAGAAGCATAGCATACAGGATCGTCTCGTGGAAAAGTTCGCCCCCCTTCCCGCTGCTTTCTCTCTTCGCAAGACCTCTGGGCTGACCCTTCCCCCCAAGGCTCTTGCAACAGGTCATGCCCGACTCGGAAGGTATCAGCGCCGGCGATGAACCGCTCGCCGACGGCATCCCCTCCGACAAGAAGCCCGCATTTGCTGAGCGGCCCAACTTCAACATCACGACAATGTCCAACAACTTCCGACGCTTCAACGCCCGCATTGGCGTCGTCTTCAAGTTCCAGGCCCAGGCCACGCGCCTCGTCACATGGCAGCATCCCACCCACACGCTGTCCTTCCTCTCCGTCTACACATTTGTCTGTCTCGACCCCTATCTCGTCGTTGCCCTGCCGCCGGCCATCTTGTTGCTCGCCGTCTTCATCCCCTCCTTCCTCGCCCGCCACCCGGCGCCGCCCTCGGGCACCCTCTCCTCCGAGCAGTCCTTCGGCTACTCCCCGCGCGGCCCGCCCCTCGCCCCGGCCCCGACTGTCAAGCCTGTCAAGGAGCTCTCCAAGGACTTCTTTCGCAACATGCGCGACCTGCAGAACGTCATGGACGACTTTTCCAACGCCCACGACCGCATCATCGCCCTCTTCCAGCCCCTGACCAACTTCTCCGACGAGCCCCTCTCGTCCTCTCTCTTTGCCGGCCTCACCCTCGCCGCCCTTGCCCTCACCATCACGGCCGCTCTGCTGCCGTGGCGCTTCATCTTCCTCCTGCTCGGCTGGGCCGCCCTCTTCCTCGCCCACCCCACCATCGCGACGTCCCTGATGACGGCCCACAAGGTGCACGTCGCGCCGCACGAGCGCCGCGCCGTCAGCTCCCTGCGCGCCTTTGCCGCGCGCGATACCATCCTCGACTCGGCCCCCGAGACGCGCGAGGTCGAGATCTTTGAGCTCCAGCGCGCCGCGGCCGCCTCGGGCGAGTGGGAGCCCTGGCTCTTCTCGCCCTCGCCCCACGACCCCCTCTCGGCGCCCGCGCATCGCCCGCCACCGCCCCGTCGGCGCCCGCTTCTTCGAGGACGTCCGCCCGCCCGACGGCTGGGTCTGGAGCGAGAAGAAGTGGGCCCTCGACCTCTGGAGCCGCGAGTGGGTCGAGGAGCGCATCATCACGGGCGTCGAGGTCGAGACGGAGGGCGAGCGCTGGGTCTACGACATGTACGACGAGCGCGAGGCCACCGCCGCCCGCGCCGCCGAGCGCATGCCCGCCGATGACGACGAGGGCGGGCCCGCCGACGTTGTCGACTGGAGCGTCCGCGGCCGCCACAAGGTCGTGCCGCTGCCGAGCTGGGAGGAGGGCGACGACGGCGAGGGCCGCCGCGGCGAGTGGCGCCGCCGCCGGTGGGTGCGCCTCGTCAAGAGGCGGGCCCGCACCGGCAGCGAGAGCGCGTAGGACGAGAATCGGACTGTTTTTACTTCATGGGCGTTTAGCGTAGCTTTTTGTTGTACCGGATGGATGGCCATCACATGACATGAGATCACGGGACCATGGTGTCAATACTGTATCAACATGAACATTTAGCATGAGTGATTTCGATTGAAAAATGTCCGCCAAAGCTGCATTCTGCATTCTGCCCAAACTCTCCTGACATGAACACCTGCCCAGTCTCACACGAGACACGTCACGAGACCCAGGTCCAAGCAAAGTATCAAAGGTATCATAAGCTCGTCGCCTGCCCAGCCATACCCCCACCCCCTTCGATGCGCCTGCTCGAGAGGACGCTTCTCTGCCCACTATTCTGCTGACATGTCGTAAAGATGCCTGACGGCGCCTGTGAAATCATGGCTCTCAACCCATATGCGCTCTTGGTTTGGGCGAAAGAGTATGAATAAAAGGCGGGGAAAAAAAAACATGAGTAAAGAAAAAAATCGGCCTGTACATTCCTTCCCGCTCTCCTTCTCATGTCAAACCCGACCGTTGCCCAGTGCTGGTGATTGGTGTGACCGCAAATGTGTACCACCCGGAACGCTGCAGATCCGGGTTTGATCTTCCTGGACCTCTCCGAAACTCTCCCCAGACGGCGTCTCCTACACGCACATCTTGTCGAGGATGACCTGGATCCCCGCGCCAAAGGTGCCCGACTCGTCAATCTCGCTGACGAGTTTCCTCGCGCGCGCAATGAGCACGTCAATCACCTGGCGCGTGTACTCGAAGGAGCCCGTCCGCTCCATAAACGAGACGGCGTAGCGCTTGACCTCGACATCCGACGTCTTCTGACCTAGAATGTTGATGAGCTGCAAGTTGCCCGGGTCGGTCCGGATGGAGTGGATGACGGGAAAGCTGAACTTGCCCTCAGTCAGGTCTTCGCACATGCCCTTGTTGTTCGAGTACTCTTTGCTGTTGAGGTTCATGTAGTCGTCGCGGATCTGGAAGACCAGGCCAAAGACGTTGACGAGAGGGACGCAGTCGACGTGACGGCGCGACTCGGCCTGCATGAGCTTGATGCCGAGGCGGAAGAGGCCACCAGTCTTGTTGCCGACCATCTCGAGGTAGTCATCCTCGGTCGGGCAGGTGAGCGTGTCACGCCAGTAGAGGTCCATGCCCTGGCCACGGTGCAGGTTGACGAGCTCCTCGGTGAAGATGTTGATCGTGTCGGGGTTGTTGAGCTTCTGGAGCTCCTGCAAAGCGCAAAAGTAAATGTAGTTGGCCGAATTGATCGTTTGTGGAACGCCGAAAATGTTGTGCGCCACGGGAAGACCTCGGCGCAGGGAACTCGAGTCCTCGACGTCGTCTATGAGCAGACTGGCCGTGTGAAGCATGCCGACAACCTTGTTGATCACCACGAGGCTCTCGTGGGGCACATCGAGCCAGGCGTTGAAAGCGTTGATGACCTGCGAGCGAAAGTCTTTGCCGGGCTGAGCAATGAGGTAGTCATACGGACCGGCAACAACTCTCTCCTTTTCCTCGGGCCACGGGCGCGTGCTCGTGACGTTGAGGTCTTGGGTCGCATAGCGGTTGGGGTCAGGAGGCGGGGGCGGCTTCATGGTGACGGTGAAAGGAGGTGGTCTGCAAGTTTCGAAGATGCGATGGCGGGGCGAATGAGATACCTTCTGAATCTGTGAGAGCCAGTCGCTTTCAGGGACGGGGCGAAGTACAGATTTAGGAGGAATATGTCCTAGGGTGCCGTTGCCGGTGGAAGAGGTTCGTGGAGGAATGGCGTTGGGTGAGGCAAGTGCGGCGCTGAGAATGGAGGGGCCAGAGAAGGGAGGTGAACCGGCGTTACTTGAAGGCGACATGGTTTTGTGATGGCTGGGTGAACGTTTGGATGCGCAAGAGGTCGTTTCCTTCTTAAGCAAACGAGGGGTTGAGGCGGGCGGGCGAGTTGAATGGTTGGCGTTTGTGTGGTGGGCTAGCGGTTCCGGCGGGTGTCTGCAAGGGCATTTGTCGTCATGACACGAGGTTTTCGAGGCTCCTTTTGAGGTTCTGAGCCCAGTCTCAGCAGAGATGAGACGAGGACCGGCGTCAAGGTCAGAAGCGGGCCCGGCACCAGGATATTGCTGTTTGTTTGTCTAGATGCGGAGGCGCCCTGCGGTCAGCGCGGGTCGCTAGTTTTGGGTTTGTTCCGGTAGTACGAGAGAGGGCTATAGTGACTTGGAGAAAAGGGCGCGGATGAGAGGGGTTGAGGTGGGCGATGAGGTTACGTGTAAGGTCAGGCAAGGTGATGATGTGCGGAAGCGTTGAGCGTCAAGTGTCCAGCGTCGAGCGTTGAGCGTCGAGCGTCGAGCGTCGAG